AGGGGGGCAGGGGTCAACCTGCACAGCCGTCTGCAGAAGCCCTGGGAAGGAGCCTCAGGAGTCTTCCAGGAAAGGCAGTCGTGGGCCAGTGGGAAAATGGTGCCCCGACATTATGTAGATGGGGTTGAATCCTTTGTCCATTATTTATCAATAATGTGACATGAGCAAGTTATTTAAGTTCTCTGGAGCTTGTAAAATAAAGACAGCAACACGCATCTTGAATAATTGTCAGACGTAGGAAGGATGTCCAGCTCCCGGCCCACACTGGGTGGTGGGTGTTATCACGCAGTGAAACTTTCTCCTTCTGTGAGTGAGGAAATGGTGACCCGGAAAGGGCTGGGCCGCGCCTAAGGCAGGGACACGGTCCCCACCCCCACCGACCTGCAGCCAGTATCAAGGCTGCTGAGGTGTCAGGCAGGAAGTGAGCTGATGACCCCTTTTCTGGGGGGTGTGTGTGTGTGTGNGACCTGCAGCCAGTATCAAGGCTGCTGAGGTGTCAGGCAGGAAGTGAGCTGATGACCCCTTTTCTGGGGTGTGTGTGTGTGTGTGTGAATATAACCATCTTAATGGGCTCTGAGGGTGAGGTTTTACTTTCATACCGATTATATACTTACAGCCCATTCTGGTGATTTCGAAAATTAGAGACTTAATTTTTAAAATGGAATTTATTTCATATTTATTTCATATTTATGTCATATTGGCAACAGGAAGCCTTTTAAGTGCAATTTTGGGGAGATTAATAGTCTGTGAATCACCTTAATTACTCTGTAAGTGGGAATGGAGAGGAGCCCTGGGATGCACCATTCCCCCTACGCCCCTGGCCCACCGGGTCAGGATGCTGTGTTGACACCAAGTGGGGCTCCTGGGCTGCTGAGGCAGGGGGGTGACTGCCCCAGGGCCTGGGTGTGGACCAGTGGACAGGTGAGCTGGAGCCAGCGGGTACTTGGTGGTCACTCAGGGGTCTGCGGCCAGTAGGATCCAAGACAAGGACAAGCCTTCTAGCAGTGATGACTCCAGTCAGTTGAAAGAACGTTTCATGAATTATTATTCCAGCCTCAGACAGCGCTGGGGGGCTGGCAGGGCAAGCAGCAGTCCGGGGGGCAGCAACCCAGTGAGCCCAGCCGGAGCACCCCCAGAACCAGCAGGAGGCCAGGAGACGTCCTGGAAATTGGGAGTGTATGTGTGCCTCCCTCTTCCATAACCTGACAGCCGCCTTCCAGAGAAAGGCAGGGACAGAGAAGGCTGAGCATTACCTGGAGAGTTAGTATAAGTGATCAGGTCAGCTGGAATTTAAACTGGACTGGGTGTTTATTATTATTTTTTGCTTATTCATAAAATGACAGATTAACCGTTGTCAAAATAAAGGAGCCACATTTTCTCTACACATTTGAGTGATCCTGCAAGTGAATTGCGTCAACCTGATTATCTCCAGCAACATTGCGGCTGCACCTGATGGGCTGTGGCTTAAAACTTCTAAGGTGTTACAGACGCTCCTGGAACTCTTCTGAAAGTTGTGACCTCCGTCCCTGGAAATACGCACACATGTACAAAAGCCTGCACTTCGAGTCCTTGGAGCACGTCCATCTGATCAAGGTTACCATCTTGATAAGGTAATTCTGCTATTAGGAGCAAAATCGAATTCACTCTGTCCCTACATGACAGTCTGCACATACCTGAGGGCTACAGTCACGTTGAAGGTCTCAGCACGTGCTTTCTCAGCATGTCACCCCCAGCCCCTCAGAGAATGAAATCTCTGGGGGGCAGGGATTTTTGTCTGCTTGGTCATTGCTCTGCTCCCAGAACCAAATCAGTTTCAACACTCGTTGAATGAATAGCTGTAGCCAGATCCCCAGGTGTTAACCTATGAACTGTTGCCTGAGAATTCTGTATTTGTTATGGATTGTTTTTAACTGGCAGCAGGGCTTTATATTAAACTCGGTAGGACACTGACATTTTCATGTGAAGTCAGCACTGTAGTCTGTCACCGTCTTTTGGATCCATCTCCTACTGAGTTAACTATCCCTCCCAGCCATGTGCTATCTGCATATTTGATGAGTGACATCAGTCTACTAACTAGTACTGCAGCTGTGTCTGGGATGGAGGTAGAGGGCTGGAAGCAGCAGATGGGCCCCACAGGGGGTCACAAGCAATTAGAACAGAAGAAATGCCATGGAAACCTCCTGAAGCTCAGCATTAAGCAAAGGCAGAGTGAGTTCAAATCGTGTCATGTAAAATGGAGCTAATTTGGGGGATTAGATAACTTTTACTTGGCATGAAGACAGGAGAACTGGGAAAGGATTCACCCCAGCTGGCATCATGGGAAAATGAATTAATAGGGTTGTATGCCTGTATGAGTGAGGATTCTCCATAGAATTAGAATCAATATAATGTGTGTGTGTGTATATACACACACATATTTATATCATGTATGTGTATATATATATGTCTATGTATGTCTCTCTCTCTATATATATATATGGGAGAGATTTAAAGGAATTGACTCACATGATTGTGGAGGCTGGCAAGTAAAAAATCTGAAGGGTAGGCTGGTGGTCAGGAGATTCAGGAAAGATCTGCATTTTAAATCCAATGGCAATCGTTGGCAGAATTTCCTCTCTCTCAGAACTGGAAAGTCTTTTTCTTAAGGCCTTCAACTGATTGACTGAGGCCCACCCACATATGGAGAGCAATCTGCTTTATTCAAAGTCTACTAATTTAAATGAAAATTCCATCCAAAAGATACCTTCACAAAAACATCTAGAATAGTGTTTGACCCACTGTCTGGGTACTGTGGCCTAGACAAGTCTACACTTGAAATGAACCATCACAGTACCTCTTAGGAACACCCAAACCCAACGCAAAACATCTGTGCTTATCCAACAGGTGAATTAGTTCAAGTCCCACTGGGTATTCGCAAGCTTCCGAACCCTCCTTGTAATTTCATACCTTGTGTCTCCCCTCATCACTGACACATCCTGGAATGCCCTTGCCCAACCCTGCTTCCTTCACCACTGGAAAAAACCTACTCATCTTTCAGAGTTCAGATCAAATGTCACATCTGGGACACTTTAATTCCACATCCTGTCCTGAAGAACTCTTCCTTCTCGGCCCTTTAAGTTTGCGCTATTACAGCACTGGTCACACTGCACTGCAATTGCCTGTACGTCAAACATCAGGTTAGCAAAGTGGCTACAATTACAAACACTGGCTCCAGCCGCCACGATTCAATTCCTGACCTCAGCAAGTTACCCAACCTCTCTGTGCCTGAGTTTCTTCATCTATGAAATGGAAATAAAGCCGTACTGACAATCTGTGGTTGTAGTGAGGACCTAATGTGTGTAAAACTCTAAGGACAGTTTCAGCGTGGAGTAACCAGAAAGATGGTTATTATTATTTTTTTTAATCCCCACCTGAGGAGTGAGGATATTTTTTCCATTGATTTTTAGAGAGAGTGGAAGGGAAGGGGAGGAGGAGGAGAGAGAAACATCGATGTGAGAGAGACACATCAACTGGTTGCCTCCCGCACGAGCCCTGACGGGGCCAGGGGTCAAACCTGCCACCAGGTACGTGCCCTTGACCAGGAATCAAACTCCAGACCCTCCAGTGTGCAAGCCAACACTCTAACCATTGAGCTACACGGGCCAGGTGGTAGTTATTTTTATTTTTAGTGCTATTGTTGCTCTCTGATTCCTGTGTCCTATGGAAAGATTCAGTGTTTCTGGGGGCAGGGACATCAACATATGCCCCCTAACATTGCGTGGAATAGCCCAGGGTCTGTAGACATCTATCAGGGTTCAGTGTCTTATGTTTGCGGAATGCTCTACACTACCCAAAGGCTGGCGGCATTATAGCGCTCTGAAACCTCATTACAATCCCGTGAGGTCATTCCTATCCCCATTTTACAGATGAGGGAACTGAGACCTAGGCGTTCAGTGAACTGTCCAACGTCACACGCAGCTGGCAAGTGCAAAGTCTCCAAGTCCAAGTCCAAGGTGAGTGCGCGAGAAGGACAGAGATGCCGGGAATTCGAGAAAGTTTTTCTTTTTCAGCCCAGGTACCACCTTTCCTCCTTTCATCTCCTCCTTCCCGTTGCCCAAATCATGGACATTCTGGACTGGGAAGCCTGCGAAACAGACGAGGCCTCCGCTCCTACTGCAGAGCTGACTTGGGAAAGGCTGTGGCCAGGAGGCTATTAATACAAGATATCCTCGGCCGTGACCGTGGCCTCCTCTACTTTGGTCTGGATCTCCGGGAGCGGGATCTGACTGATGGCCACCACCAGCAGGTTGGCGGCGTGGGCCGAGGCGCTGGCCACGCAGATCCAAAACGACTCTTCGTACTTTTCTTCCACCACCACAAAGCGGAAGAGCCTCTCCTGGAAGTTGGCGATCCGTTCGGTCAGGTCGTGGAACCTCACGGCGGCCATGAAGCTGGTGATGGCCAGCGCCACCACCCCACCTGGAACCCAGAAAGGCGGCTCTTAGCGACCCCTTGGCAGGAGTAACAACTTTATGGGCGGTGGCGTTTCTGTGGCATGCGCATCAAACTCGCTTTGGGTTTTAAAATAATCCTTAGGGAGGCACACATTTTAAATTGCTGCTTAAGGCAGCAGCTAAGCTGCGGGCGTGAGAGGCGGGAGGTGGCCTTTCCCCGGCCCTCGGCCCCTCGCGCTCCCGCCCGGGGCTGCTCCTTCCCGGCCGCAGGCTGTTCCAGGGGGAGCTCTCAGTGCCTTAGGGTGGGATGGAGGCCGGGGCGGCTGGGGAGAGGTGAGGGCACCTCCCGCGCAGGCTGGGCTTTCAGCCCAGGGGGGATGTTCTCGCTTTTCAATGGTCCTCTCCCGAGCTTCAGGCTAAGAGGGAGGGATGGAAGCGGGAAGGGGAGCAGAGGGGAGGCTGGGCGCCTCCAAACTTCACTGCTCCCTGCCTATTGCCTCCAACTTTGACCTCTCTCCCTCTCTCTGTCTCTCTGACTCTCTCTGTCTCTCTCTGACTTTCTCTCTCTCTGTCTCTCTGACTCTCTCTCTCTCTGACTCTGTCTCTCTCTGTCTCTCTGACTCTGTCTGACCCTCTCTGTCTCTCTCTCTGACTCTCTATGTCTCTCTCTGACTCTGTCTCTCTCTGTCTCTGAATCTCTGTCTCTCTCTCTCTGTCTCTCTCTGAGTCTCTCTGACTCTGTCTCTCTTTATCTGACTCTCTGTCTCTCTCTGACTCTATGTCTCTCTCTGATTCTCTCTGTCTCTCTCTGAGTCTCTCTGACTCTGTCTCTCTCTGACTCTCTATGTCTCTCTCTGACTCTGTCTCTCTCTGTCTCTGACTCTCTCTGTCTCTCTCTGACTCTCTCTCTGTCTCTCTGTCTCTCTCTCTGTCTCTCTCTGAGTCTCTCTGACTCTGTCTCTCTCTGACTCTCTATGTCTTTCTCTGACTCTGTCTCTCTCTGTCTCTGACTCTCTCTGTCTCTCTCTGACTCTCTCTCTGTCTCTCTGTCTCCCTCTCTCTGTCTCTCTCTGAGTCTCTCTGACTCTGTCTCTCTTTCTCTGACTCTCTGTCTCTCTCTGACTCTCCCTGTCTCTGACTCTCCTTCCTTTTTCTACTGTTTAAATTTTAGTTAATACTTAAAAAAACACATTTACTATGCTTTTTGTTTAGAATCTAATTATTACACCTTCATTGAAGAAAATATGGACACCAGAGAAAATCATAAAGATTAAAGTACAAATTTACTTTTATCCTAAAAGCCAGGTATAAACACTTTAAATATTTTAGTATCTTTCCTTACATTTCCTTCTCTTGAACAAGATCAGTGTTATGGTTCTTAGCATTTTACACTTGATTTTCCCCCTTACTTGGGCATTTCCCCACATTGTCAAATATTCTATTAGAGCACCGCTTTAAACTGGTACACAGTATTTTATCCTAGCAACACACCTAACTAATCAAGTTTAATTGTGATCTTATTTCTAGGTATCTAGATTGCTCTTAATTTTTGATATTACAAAGCGTGGCATCGAATCCCTTTTTGTGAATATCTTTGTGTTCTTTTCCAGTTATTTCCTTAGCAAAATCCCCATTGGAATTGTTTCATGAAAAGATATTCATATTTTTATGCCTTTTGATGCCGAAGTTTTATCAAAATGCCTCTTTTTAATACTCTGGTCAGTGGAGCTTGAGAGCCTTGCCTCTGTGAGGAAGGAAGCGGACAGAGATAAGCATTTACTTAAGGAGCAGGACTGAGCGCTTTGACAGGCCCGCGCCGCCGAGGCCCAGGATAGACCAAGGGGACGCCTTAGTCCAGGTGCGGCCAAGCAGGGACAGAAGCGACGCTATGGGACGGCCACAGTCCCAAACACAGGCAAATGCATAATAATCGACTTGCAGACACCGTATTCTAATATAGGATCAAACCACGGTGCCTGTTTTTGTGCTTCATGGTCACCCTGCGTAAAGTGAAGGAAGTGGAAGATTACTGCTATGCTACCTTGACCCTGGACCTGGCTTTTCACAGACAGCCCTCATTTCTCAGAATGTGCTATTTTCATTACAGATGATTTTTAAAGTTTATAATTGTGAATTAATTTCTGTGTATCAATATACATCCAAATCAACACACACACACACACCCCTTTTGCAGTAATGTTTGGCTTGGAAAATAGGTCACGATGGTCATAAATGAGACCATGAATTAATGAAAAGGCAAATGGCTTAGACTCAGCTCTACCTGGGTGGGAATCCCACCTCGGCTGCTCAATGCTGTGTGACCTTGGCTGTGACCTTCAGGCTCCTCATCTGTAAACATGGGTCTAATAATCCCTCACACCTCTTACATGGAGGTTGTGAGGTTTAAAGGAAACAGGCGGGTAAACCCCCAGGTTTTTCCTCTTCTGTCATTTGTGAGGGTTCTTCCCAGCCTCCCAGCAGCTCCTCAGGCACACTAACCATTTGGCTCTTTATTGTGACAGAGGTTCTGCCGCATTGGGAAGGTTACAGACCCAGGGAAGTGAAGGCTGAGGCGGGCATGTTAATTCCTCACACCTTCCTAAGTTCTGGGAACTCAGCCTGGGGACAGTGGGGACATGAATTTCCCCCCAGGGGCCTTCCTTACCCGCCAGCACGTTCCACAGGCAGATGCCCCCAGGGCCATTGACCGCCTTGTAGGGAACCTGGGTCATGTTGAGAATGGCGAAGCCCATGCTGACCAGAGCCAGGGCCAAGGCCAGGAAGAGCAGCAGCAGGATCATCACGTGCAGGCCTGCATTGAGCTCCTTCACCAGCTGCGGGAAGACTGCAGAGAGAAGACACGGCCATTATTGCAATGCCAAGCTCGGCTCAAGTTCATAGGGCCCAAGCTTGCCTACCACGAGGCTTTAATGAATAGAGGGGTGCGAGGGCCGGGCAGCAAGCGCTGGGCTTTCAAAGAGCAGGAGCACTCCCCAGATGAAGTCATGGCCCCAGACTTGCCACTTGTCAGCTGACCAACAATTCTCTCTTCCTCGGGGTTGGGGGGGGAGGTGCAAAGTCAAAATGTGTCCTGGTTGGCAACTGAAGTTGCACTGACCCTGCAGCTCTGGGATCTGGTGTGAGCTGGCGCACGTGAGCCCAGATGGCGTCTCTTTCAAAGGAGGCTGGCAAGAGAGTCAGCGAATGAGGGCCGATCACAAAGCTTGAATCTGGGTCAGAGAGTTGCCTTCATGAAATCAGAATTGGTCTCAGGAGTATCTGCGAAGAGGGTAGCAGGGTGTAGCCAAGTGAAGCCTAGATCTGGCATCTGAAGATCTGGGTTCAAATCCCAGCTTTACTCATTTGCCACAACTGCAAAACAGGGTCCTCTAAACCCTGCCCTCCATCTGCATCTTACAAGGTTGTCAGTGGATCGAGTATGGATGATAATAACGCCCACTCCTGGGCACTGTGGGAAGCAAGGAGCATCTGCTTGCGTCCCTCCTAACGACTCAGCAAGGGAGACATTATCTCCTGTGTCTGATGGGCACTCACTCCTTACGTTGCATATGCATGTGGCAGGATAATCGAGGGAAATATTCATTTGTATTTGTTTTCTCTATATTTGCCACCGTGTCCTAGCTATGAAGATTGAATGACGTAAGAGTATTTTAAATATTGCCTGGGAAAGAGTCAGTTCTCAAAAGCGTGGCTATGGTTGTTGCCGTTACTATTTTTACTCTCTGACTTGGGGAAAATCATGTGACTTCTCAGAGCCTCAGTTTCCTCATCAGTGCAATGGGGCTAATAACAGCATGTACTGAGCAGAGTCACGGACCAAGCATTTTACATTTGTTGTCTCCTTTAACCCCTGTGCCAAGGAAAGGAGGTCGATTTTATGAGCAGTTTTTCCCACAGGCTTGGAGACTTTAAACCCCTTATCTTTGGGCAAGGTGACCCTGAACTCTACATATAGGATGATAGTCTTGTACAGCATACGGTATACAGAGTTCAGATCACTGTTTTCAGTAGCTATAAACGAAGACTTTAGTGATGAAAACTACCCACTGTTCTGCAGCTATTCCAAGGCTTCTACTCCACACTTCCTGGTCAAATTGGGGTCCGTCTTTGAGCTCCAAACTCCCTCCGTCACCATTTGACACCACTGACCAAGCACCTCTTTGTCCCCCTCAGGAGCCAGGACTCAAAGCTTTCCTGGTTCCATCCCCCCCCCCCC